CTCTGCAAAAAGAAAGCCCAACCCAGAAGCTAAACCTCTCACCCCACCATTCAGTCAGCTCACGCCCTTCCAAATCCAGCCAGTGCCACTGCAAAGCTCTCCCACCTACCAATGCCACCGCTCACCTGCTTCCTCTGCCCCATCCACACCCAGACACGTGTAGTTTCCAGGATATCTGCCATTAAAAGCATCTGGGGTTTGGTGGTCAGCTTTGGGGTACTCAGACTGGACTAGGCTTTCCATTTTGGTGAGGACTCACTAGGTGGAAGTTGGCTGCTTGTGTTAGGCAGCCAGAGAACAAGAGACGCGCTTTTCTCCACGCCTCCTCCCTTCTACAAACCAGTGACAGTCTGATGTCAAAGTCTGCGATGCTGCAGATATCAGACGTGCCAGGTGTGGCACCACATCAAGGGGGAAAGAAAACTACCAAGAAATTATTGTCTGGTAGGATCATGGAACACAGCAGGATTTGACATCACACCAAACTACAGAAACAGACCCATCAAAGAGAAAGTCCTCTACAATTAAAGTAAATTTTACTTCCAGTAGGGACGAGGCTAGCTCAGAAAACTTCATGTCCCTGGCCCATGTAAGCAGCAAAGAGATACTTTCCCACTGGACAGAGATAGCCTTGAAGGAAACCAAGTCTGATTCAAAACCCCAGATCCTTTTCTCTGGTCACGAGCTCCTGAACAAAGCTGAGCAAGGAGTAGCCCTTGCTAGAGACTCTACAAGCAGAAGCATGAGAGAGTATCTGTGGGAACTTATTTATTAGTGTTCTAATATGTATAGCTCCCTTGCTCTCAGGAAAACAGCAAGACCAAGAAAAAGAGCAATGCATTCTTACCAAGGACAGGCAGATTTCCCCAAACCAGGGAGCAAGTGCAGATAGTTACCACAGCTGGCAGATGGATGAATGGGGATGGAAGAGGATGTGTGAGATTAGGGAAGTTTTGAAGCGAACTGACTTTCTCTACCCAAAGAGGAACTCTTTGGGGTAGAAATGCATTCAAGCCAACTGGACAGCATGTGGGGAAACTTCCTCGAGCAGACATCAACCTGGGCAGTGCCCATTTCAGGAAGACAGGCTAACAAGCTTCAAACCTAGGAGTGTGTCAAAGCCTCAGTGCGTCTGAGGGGATGTAACTGCAGGAATTCCAGCTGCCAAAAGACCAAATTCAACAGCTCAAACATTTTAGCTAGAGGATAAGGCCTTGAACAGGGTAAAAGCCAGAATGTGCTTTCCTCCAAATGGGGCAGCTGATCCTGAGCAGGAGAGGCTGCAGGGGGAATGAATGGCAGCAGCCTTCCTCATGATGCCACCAGCTAGTGCCTCCGCCCCAGACACCCACCCCAAAACAGGCCATCCTCTAGCTCAAAGAGTGGCACATGCTCTCTTGGCCTCAGAGCTCCTAGGATTTTTTACTACAGACATGTTTACTTGAGGAAGGACTGACACCCTGCCTGCTTCCTTCCCAACCCTGGTCTCCACTACTGGCCCAGACCAGGGTTGCTACATTTCAGTTTGCAGTCTCTGCTGATGTCTGCTGTGCATCCTCATGTGCTGTGCCAGCACCACCTCTAGTTCAGCAGCCCCAGCCTCCTTCCTCCCTGCTGGCGCCCTACGATCTCACCATTCCTTGCCGCATCATCCACTTAGTCAGCTGGGCTCCATCACTAGAGGCACCAGACTCCCCCTGGTCGAGAGAAAGTCTGCACTGAAAGCTGCTATCACAGAGGGTGATGGAGAGGGGAGGCAGTGGGTTTAGGGTGGGGGAAAGAACACACTAGTATAGGTGGCCCACTACTTCTTTGATTGCAGAGAGAAGGCAACTGGCCTTGGAAACCTGATGAAGAGGAATAAAACATAAATTCCCAGGTGGAAATTTCCCTGCAGATATAAGGAGGCCATCCTGTTACTGACTGAGTCAATCCCAGACTTTCCACAGTTCCCCACCTCTGGGTTTTAAAGAATGAGGTACAGAGCCCAGGTAGGAAATGTAGGTTGGTGCAGAATGGGAGTTATCATCAGTTATGTTAAACACTTGATTTTTTCCAATCAGACAGCACATTTATTGTGTTGGTGAGCAAGGAGGATACTCTCATTCCTGGTGATGCACTAAAAGCTCTGTGGGCACTTACCGTTCCTGTGTTCTGCTGCCGAGCATCCAGGGCACCAGCGAGTCCTTTGGAGGCTTGGGGATCTTCGTACTTTACCCTGAAAGCATCAAGGTAGATAACACATAGGCTGATGAGATGCCTGAGAGTGAAGAGCAGGAACTCCTAAACGTATATTCAGGGCTTCTGACTGCACAGATTTCATTCTGCTTCCAAGAGCTTCCAGAAAGGTGTGCAAAGCCCCTGCTAAAGGTGTAGCCCACCACAAAACAGACTACTCTACTCATTGCAATGTCACTGTGGGACACCACAGGACAGCCCTGGCACATGACAGGAGAATTACAAGGCATCATATGAAAACAACCATCCAACAGACTAAAATACAGACTTACAGAGCTAGGTGCATCAACCATGACATTCAACTGCTCTGGAGTTGACTACAGAAGAGAGATAACTAACACAGACTGACCAGAAGATTACAGCTACTTTAGAAAGGATTCGAGCAACAACCCCTTCATATTAACCTACTTTCACAGACACAAACATAGCTCAAAAATATCTCTTTAACTGATACCACCCAAGAACCGATGGTGGTGGAGACTCACTGGTCTATGCTACAGAGGAGGTGAGACCGGATGATCAGAAGAGCCTAGTGTTGCTTCAAGGTCCCCAAATGCACCATTATAGCAACGTCTTTCCATACACAGACACATCTCACCCATAATCTCCCTCATCCCATTTCCGTGTCCCCTCTAGGCTGTTACCACACATGCTAATGCCACACGTCACCATTTGATCCATGCAGAGTGGGGAAAACAGTCCGTCCATGCTGGGAGAAGGAGCCTCTCCCAGAAACTCTCCACAAGTCTCCTTTCCAGCTGCTCCTGGGCCCCTTTTCGCAGATCCAGCAGACCATCAAGTGGAGCTGTTTCTGTTGGGGGCCAGAGGCTTAGGCCACCGGCGGTCAAACTTCTCAAAGAAGTGCTCATCAGTGAAGGGTCCGCTGTGGACAATGGCATCAAGGATGAAGTACAACGCTGCTATCATGCCACTGATGAGGAAGAATGGCAGGAAAGGCTTGAGGTGTTTCAAGCACTGCTTCGCTGAGACACACATGAAGAACAGGGGGACAGGAGCAAACCCCAGTGTCCCTGCCTGCGTCTCCTGCCAGCACGTCCCGTCCAGGAGCAGCAGGGTCTGCTCAGACGGAGGGAGACACTGAGAGCAGAGGCTGATGAGTGAAATGGGAAGCCTGAGCCAGTGAGAGTAGAGGCTACCTGGCAGGAGTGCAAGTGCAGGCAGATGGAGGACAGTGAGGAATAAATAGAAGATGTCTCGTTACTTGTGCAGAGATCACAAGCCTCAGTCTGTTAAGGATTGCGCCACAGCGGAGAGGATACGATTCCACCCCTGCCCAAATCTCAGCCTCAAATCACAGAGCACATACCAGTGGCTCAGATTTCAGCCCCAGATTGGGTGCTGTTGGCACCACTGGTTTTGTCCGGGGCTGCCTCTGTCCTCAGGCAGCATACCCAACAGTGTGGTGGGGAAACCCATGGGCAAAACATATGAAGTTGTGTGTAGGCCACGGATTTCCCCACCACTTTTACCAGAAGCAGTCTGAGGCAGAGAAATGAAAGGAGACGTCTGTAAGAGACCTTAACTTGCTACTGCCCAGCTGCAGAACATGGCACTCGAGTGGATGGGGATCAGGAGCACAGCTCTTTTTGGGCTGGAGGAAGCCATGTGCCTGTGGGCTCTACTGCTTGGTAACCATTGGAGAGCAGTGGATGACTCTGACAGGCAAAACAGAGCGAGATCAGCTGCAGTCTCTCAAGCCAAAGGGATCTGGTCAGCACAGCTCTTGCTTGGCTCCTCCTAGAACAAGGATTCAGGAATCCACTCTTTGCAGCAGAGAAGAGACCTCTTCAGTTCAGCCAGTACTATAGAGACCCAACTCTTAGTGGTTTACACCAGGAGGTCTCAAACACACTACAGAGGAAGAAACATCAGTCCCACTTACCAACAGGGAAGCTGAGGCACAGAGCAGTGCCCTGCCTTGCAAACCACAACTGACTGCATACTTCCTGCACTCCGGTTCAATACTCTGCTATTAGGCTGCATTGATATTCAGCAATTCCCAAATTCAATATCACCCCAGTCAGGGCCCATGAGTTCAGAGACAGCCACGCAAACTTAGCCAGTTCCACTCCACACCTTCATCTCCAGATGCTAAGCCTCCCCAACACATGTGGCAGTACAGTCCACGGACACAGTGGTGAGGGACACATGCACGTAGAGGCTGCTTCCTTCTTCCCGTGCCCAGGAGGACACTGTGAAGAGGAGATGATGGCAGCAGGAAGAATGACTGGCAACACACAGGTCATCCTACAAACACTGTGCGTCAGAAGAGTGCATTTCTGTTGCATCCTCCTGTCTCCCAGGAGCTGCTGCTGGTTGGAGTCACAGCCCCGGTTGCCCTGAGCCCTCACCCTTTGCAAGAAGTCAGGACAGGACAGGACAGAGTTGGCTCCTACACTCACTCTTTGCGCTGCTCAGCCAGCGAGCTGCCGCGGGTCAGGGCAAACATGTCAAACTCTTCTTCCAGCTTGCCAGAGGTGTCGAGGGAGTGCAGCCCTGCGCTTACGCTGCTCGAGCCCAGGTCTGTGGGAGAGAGAGCAGGGTGAGCAGACAGCACAGAGCAGTAAACAGAAGGCTGTGGGGTTGGAGGGTCTTAGGTGGAAAGTTAGCATCAGAACAGGCTAAAATCCTCTAGGCCCACTCCTCTATCCTGCCGCTCAGCTGCAGCACAGTCTATACATGTGTGCAGTGTTGTGGGTGAAGTAGCAGAAGCAGCTTCTTTGCCTGCTCAGCAGATATTTTTAGCTCAGTCTCAGGCAGCAGCAGCATCAATTTACTGCACTGACGCTCAAGGCTAGATGTTCCTGACCGTTTAAGACAACTCAGAGGGAATTGCTCCATAACCTGTGGAAGAGGATAACCTGTGCTTCTGGGCAAGCACCTCTGAGACAGATGAATCGATTTTCATGACTCAAGCATCATCTGAAAAACCATGACTTGAAAAGTATCTCAACTGGATTGTCTGTAAAAACAGCCTTGTGAATTTTCTGTAGCTGCATCCAAGCTGCATTAAATGTGCTCACAGCTAGCGAGAGCTTTAGGCAGTGCTATGTAGGCTGTTGGTATGTCTTGAAGAACCCTCAGGACACCTCAGGCTTTTTGAGTAAACAACCTGTCAAATCCTGAGTCCCGAGCCCAAGATGCTCCTGGCTGCCTTTGCAGCACAGATCAGCTGCTTTCCTTCTCCCAGAGCCCAGCGATCAGCCTGATACCACACAGCAAGGGGCAACTGCACTGCTGCTACGCATTGGAGATGGAGCGACTTTCTCCTGTACCCTGCGGGAAGGCCCAGTTCTTAGCCACAGCCTAATGGTGAGGTCCTTCTTAAGTCACGTCCACCTCCTGCCCAACGTGAGGTGTGGATGCTGAGACATATGCTTGTGTGCCTTGGGGCATATACAAGTTTCTTCCTGAGTTTATTATTTGACAATACACCCTGTTTCTGTAGGTTGCTTTATGAATGTGACTAAATAATTCTGGGAGGTGATTCAAGGGCATGAAAAGATTCCCAGAGCAGCGCAGGAGAAGGACTGAGGGGAAAACTGAATGGCAACATACTCATTCCAGCCAGCTGCGAGGAAAGGTTGTTGGTGACTTCAGGCTGTTTCACTGCAGAAGCAGAAGGAGTACTGGGTCCCAGGTCAATCAAGCTGTTCTCTGCCTCATTTGGTGCCTTTGGAGGAAGAAAAAGGGAAGATGGTGGAGAGTTTCTGAAGTTCAGATACCCTGACCCCACAATCCTAACTCGTTAATGCTGGAGAGGGGGGCCTTTCTGTACGCATCGAAAGGTAACAGCTCTGAAGCCTCTCCTTGTAAGAAGGGGGACAGCGATCAGAAAACTGGAAATAGTGTCCCAGGGCAGAATACGCACTGGTAGCCAGCCTCCCAACTCTGCTGGATGTCAGTAATTAGGGTAGGTGCTGCTTCAGAGGACAGGGCAGTGCTTAGAGGACAAAGGGCAGTGCTCATATGGGAATCGGTCCTCTCAGTGTTCAGCACCAGAAAACCATAACTGCTGCTGGTCTGCTCCTGCTCTTTGGGTGAGAGGAAGGCTCCCGCTGGCAGGCAGTGAGAGGCTAGTAGCGGGAACTGGAATGTCCTGCACACCAGCACGGCCTGGTGCAGCTGGGCTGGGAGAGCAAAGTGGGGCAGATTGAACCTTTCTCCAATTCAGCAAGACACTGCCAGACCTGCAGCAGGCAAACGGAGCTGCGCAGAAGGGCACTTGTTCCAAGTTACCTTAACAGGCTGTCCTGTCCGAAGACGCTCGAACCTGCAAGAAAGATGACAGGATGCATTTCAGTAGTGTGTGCTTATTCACCCACAGCCCAAGAGATTTCTTATAAGGCTTGGCACAGTCTGCCTTTTCCTACATACTAGGAAAGGGGGACCATGGCTCAGGGCGCAATTCTCCCTCAAGACCGAAGACACTGCAATAAGGCCCACAGACTTGATGTCTCCTGAGAGGTGGTGTGAGGGAGCTTCTTGTGATACTCCAGAGCTACTTCTAACCAAAATGCTTCAAACCCAGCTCTCCATACAGACACAGGAACTAAATTTTCCAGACTTCATCCTATCTTAAGAGATGGGTTTGATGAAATGGAGGAAAAAAGAAAGGGATGCTGATCCCACCTGAG